TCAACTGCATAAACGCATCCCTCCTACAAAATCACAAAGACAAACATTGTAAGCAACAACAACAAACAAACATGTAAGAACAGTCACAAACATAGAGGGTAAGTTTTGCTTACAGGACCAACAAGATCAGATACATGGGAGACTGTGGTTCCAGAAGCAGCACCAAGGTACAGTACTTTAGCACCAGGTTTCTACATTGTAACATAAACAATCAATACATGAACACTCCTCACAAGCAGAAGTGTAAACAAGATTTACTTACAATATAAATGTTATCAACACCACCGAGAATAGCAGCTGCCAACTTAGAACGGAAAGGGTTCCAAACCCTGTACTCAGTCTTAGTTCCATCTTCATGCTGTAAATTCAATCACAAAACAATTAAGACTTTCATCTAAAAGAGGTAAACAAACATCTAAGTATATACCTGAACAGAGATTCTCTTCTCGTTGTAAACAGCTTCACCAGGAACCAAGTTCTTAGTGACAAGAGCCTCTTCTTTACCCTTTGCAATAAACACTCCAGGATGTCTGTGCGGCTCCACAATCACCTTGCTACCTCCCTTCATTCCACTACGTCCTCCTGGTGCTCCTCTGCTGCGACCACGCTGATCTCCTCTACCTCTGTTCATGCTTCTGCCGCGTCCACGGTCACTAAAACCTCTTCCTCTACCTCTACCTCCAGAGCTACCTCCTCGTCCACCACTGAATCCACCACCACCACGTCCTGAACAAAAAAAAAAATAGCAGAGAGTTAATATCTCAGTACCCAATTCAGTTTAGCTAAACACAAAGAGTTCCGAAAAAACTAACAAAATAAGATTCCATTGTTGTCTGAAACAAAACCTAAACAATAGAGAAGTAAGTTAAAAAGCGGCGGACTAGGGTTCTTACCACCAGTTAGAGGAGGTCTCATGTTTGCTTGGGAAGGAAGATAACGTCAACTAGCGAGAAAAGTTTCAAAGATTGTTAATGACGTCGTAGGCAATTAAGCTGCGCATGTGTTTGTTTTTATACTAGTACGTCTAGGGTTTAGTTACTGCGTTGATTATTATTACTATTTACGTATATACCCTTACACTATGTTTTGGACCTTGCGTTAAGCTAATTGTATGGGCCTTGATGTGAAGCAGCTCCTCATACGGTTTAGAGGGTTTTATTATTATTCATTTATTCTCTTAGAAAATATATGGGCCTTAATCTCGTATTTTGGGTTGCTTTTGTAATGGGTTTGGTCCATTATAACAATACAATTTGACATGGTGTTCCATAGGAACATACTCAAACTAAATTTTCAAAAAAAAAAAAAAAATCTCAAAACCCATGTTACTTTAGTTGTAACGCTCCGGAAGATAAACAACACTTGATTTTGACCCGCGCTTAAAAGCGCGGAAATTTTTTATTATTAAAAATTTAGATAATTGGGATTTTGTCATAATTTAAATAATGTTTTGGTATAAAATCAGTTCAACAAAATTTGTGGTGATGATTGTTTTTCATTAGTTTTTAGTTTCAATTTTTATTTTTAGATTTTGTTTTAGATTTTAATTTTTTGGGTTTTAATTTTTAAGTTTCTATTTTTGATTTCAGCTTTTGATTTGAGTTTTTAATTTTTAGATTAGCTGAGTTAGTTTGAACTGATATTACCCAATTTTTTTATGATTAAAAATTTATATAATTGGGGTTTTGTCTTAATTTAAAGAATGTTTTGGTATAAAATCAGTTCACCAAAATTTGTGGTGATGATTGTTTTTCATTAGTTTTTAGTTTCAATTTTTATTTTTAGATTTTGATTTTTTGGGTTTTAATTTTTAAGTTTCTATTTTTGATTTCATCTTTTGGTTTGAGTTTTTAATTTTTGGATACGCTGAGTTAGTTTGAACTGATATTACCAACAAACAAATCTCAATTAATCAAACATATAATTTAAAACTGAAAAGATGACAAAATAATTTTTTAAAAATTTTAAATAGTTTATTTTGTAATAAAAAAGCAAAAAATATAATTCAAGCGCAGAAATTTTTTATGATTAAAAATTTATGTAATTGGGTTTTATCTTAATTTAAAGAATGTTTTGGGATAAAATCAGTTCACCAAAATTTGTGGTAATAGTTGTTTTTCATTAATGTTTAGTTTCAGATTTTATTTTTAGATTTTGTTTTAAATTTTGGTTTTTGGTTTTCAGTTTTTAAGTTTCTATTTTTGATTTTCAGCTTTTGGTTTGGGTTTTTAATTTTTAGACCTTCTAAGTTAGTTTGAACTGATATTACCAACAAACAAATCTCAATTAATCGAACATGTAATTTAAAACTGAAAAGATGACAAAATAATTTTTGAAATTTTTTGAAATAGTTTATTTTGTAATAAAAAAAAAGCAAAACATATAACCTGCGTTTTCAGCTTTTGGTTTTGGATTTTAGTTTTTAGATTTGGTTTTTGGTTTTGCTTTACATTTTTTTAAAATCTATAAATTATTTAAAAGTTACCATTAAAATTTATCAAGATAGAGTGATTGTTATTTTAAATAAAAAATATTAACATGTTTTAAAGTACATGATTTAAATAAGTGATTAATAATAGATAATTTTGTTTTGTTGAAAATAAAAAATATTTTGGGTTAAAAATATTAACATGTTTTAAAGTACATGATTTAAATAAGTGATTAATAATAGATAATTTTGTTTTGTTGAAAATATTAAATATTTTGGGCCTGAAAATAGTAATTGATTTTTAATCCATTAAAGTGGAAAGTTTATTTAATGTTTTTTGGAGTTTTTCTTTAATATTAAGCCCAAATACCAAACAATTAAATGTCATAAAAACAAAAATAAGCCCAAAACTCTATTCTATAAATAACCGCCGGTTTAGTTTAAGTAATGCGGTTCAATCAATTATATAACTTGTATTATTTGTAATACTCTAGAAAGGGTCCAAATTTAAATGACAACTTGTATCAGTAGATAAAAAGAATGACTCTATTTTAATAGAATAGATGTTAACTTCGAATTATCAGTGACTCAACATGTCCCCAATCAATGAAAAATCAAGATAAGTATATCACAATCAATGAACAAGTGAAACAGATAATTAGAATGAAAGAAACTAATGAAAGATGATGAGTAGAGGAAGTGTGCATGTGTGATGTTGGGGGAAAATCAGGAACCTTTTTTCAAGTTATCTCCCTACCAATCATTATAACTTTCCTCAACTTCTTAATTATCTTGCGAACTTATTTTCTATTTGTCACATTATGGTCACGCTTTAAAACTATGTGTGTCCATATATGTAATGGAGTAGCTATACCTAGGTCATAGGCTCGAATTGTTTTTGTTCAGGGATGAGGATGAGAATGAAGATTCCCATTTTATTATTCCACTTATATTTGTCACTTTATATCATGTTCAATGTCTACTAGATAACCATGTGACTGCTAGTGGGTGACCGACCATAGTTGGATGTAAATATTTTGTCAATAACATACAATTATAGTGTATGCTTCTTTATTATATGTATCTATCTACTTATCCATTTCGTATATACACGTAGCGAGACTTTCATAGTTCAAGTCTATTAACTAGAGCCAGAGGTGTGAATAAGTGAACCTTTATGTAGTTGGCTTCTTGATTAACTGGATAAGCATATTTTCGATCATGGTAATCTATGATCACAAGTATGATTTCAGGTCATATATTTTATGATTTAGACCCATGCATTGAAAATTTGGAAGAGCAAAAAAAAGTGTTGAAACTTTCAAGGTTTTGGGACAAAAGGTAAATAAAGAAGTAAATTTATGATCCACATACCGTAAATAAGGCAAGTCTTCAAAGTGATTGTCAAAGTCGCGGTAAAGTGAACGAAGTAAGTATTTATAACATCTGGTTTGTGATGTATTTTGAAGGTTTACAAAATTTGATTGCATATGTCATAAAATCCATTTACTTTTTAGGTCATTTATCATGAAAGAATTCTAGAGTCAAATGTGCTTTGGAATAATTGAATAACAAATGCCTCATCGAAAAATGATTCATAGTATCGTGCGATTTAAACCAAAACACAATAAAAAATATTCAATCCGTTTCAATTTAATTGTCATTCTAGAGTTTTGCACACAGATTAAGAAAATAATTAATTTTATATATTTCAAAATAAAAACACAATTACCTATACATCTAACCACTTTTCAACCAATGAAAAAATAGAATAACATTTAAAATCAATAAATTTTGCATTGAAATTATAAAACGACACTTATTTTGAAACGAAAATTTTACTCTAGAATGACATCTACTATATTAAAACAGAGTAATACTGATACAAGTTGTCATTTAAATTTGGACCCTTTCTATAATGTTACAAATAATATAAGTCATATAATTGATTGAACCGTATTACTTAAATTAAACCAACACAATTAATGTAAAGAGACGACTTTAATGTAAACTACCTTCAAAATATGGTAGGTATATATGTGTATATCAAAAACACATATTTTCTCCTACAAATATGGAATATTCTAAAAGAATATATATCATCAAAATATGGAATATGAAAATCTACTAATTATACTTAAATTAAACCAGTGGTTATTTATGGAAATTGTTGGGCTTACTTTTATTTTTTGAACAAATTATATAGTTTGGTTTTTGGGCTTATTATTAAGAAAAAAACTCTAAAAACATTGAATAAACTTTTCACCTTAAAAGATCAAAAAATTAGTTATTATTTTCAGACCCAAAAGGTATTTAATATTTTTAATAAAACAAAATTATCTATTATTAATCATTTATTTAAATCATGTACTTTAAAACATGTTAATATATTTTTTTTATTCTAAATAACAATCACTTTGTTTTGATAAAGTTCAGTGGTAACTTTTAAATAATTTATTGTTTTATTTTTCTTAAATAATTTACTGATTAAAAAAATGTAAAGCAAAACCAAAAACCAAATCTAAAAACTAAAATCTAAAACCAAAAGCTGAAAACACATGTTATATTTTTTTGCTTTGTTTATTTAGAAAATAAACTATTTAAATTTTTTTTTTTTACATTTGTTGTCATCTTTTCAGTTTTGAATTAGATGTTCAATTATTTGAGATTTGTTTGTTGGTAATATTAGTTCAAACTAACCCAGCAGGTTTAAAAATTAAAAACTCAAACCAAAAACTGAAAATGAAAAGTAGAAACTTAAAAACTAAAAACCAAAAACCAAAATCTAAAAATAAAAACTGAAATTAAAACTAATGAAAAATAATCATCACCACAAATTTTGGTGAACTGATTTTATATCAAAATATTCTTTAAACTAAGACAAAACTCAATTATATAAATTTTTAATCATAAAAAATTTCCGCGCTTTCAAGCGCGGGTCAAAATCTAGTATAATTTAAAACGGAGGGAGTATGTGGTAATCACAACAGTAAACAAAACTTTTTAAATTCCGAAAAATTAAGCACACTCTGTTGCATGGGATGATATCCACAAACTGAGTGAGTGGGATTAAACATGAACGGCTAGACGTTACAACATTTATATAGTTAGTACTACCAAGAATATCTCAACTTGGTGGCCAAAAAAACTCAGAACCAAATTCGTACCAAACATTAAAAATAATTGAATGGATCTAAAACCTTATGTCTTCGCAAAACCGAAATTCAATTGAAACCAAATCCAAAGTGATACCTAAACACCTAAACCTATAGTTTTTTTTGTCTGGTTAATTATGCTATTACAAATGATGAAAAACATTTCAAAAAATGAACTGTTGAAGCTTACAAAATTTGATGAACAACTTATTTTTGCTAAATTGTAAATATCATTTCATGAAATACACTTACATAGTGCATTTTAATTGTCACATGTTTTATTGGTGTGGCTGCTTTGTTTTTTCTCTGTTAATTACATGACTAAGTATAGTGAAAATGTTTGAAAGCTTGTTTTTATGAATTTTGTTTACTTAACGCAGAAAGATTCATTGCCATTTTTCTATGCATCTATCATGTTTGTTGGCATAATGTTTGTAAAATAGAGTACTCTGAAAAGTGACGATCTTTCATTCTTTCTTATCGAGAGAGAAAGGTGAAGGGTCGCATTCGTACGTTCGCACGCACGTAAAGAACATTACACTCTGCACACGTGCGCTCTATTCTTAGCACATAACCACAAAGCCTTCTCTTCTATCTTTCTTCTTTACACCGATTAATCAACCCTCTCAAATCTTGTTTTGTCGCATTGGTTTAGTTTAACCATTCACAGATCATTTGAAGCCTAATTCATACATCTTCCAAGATCTTCCATTACCAAAGGTATGGCATAGTGCCGTCTTGAAGTGGCCTAAAGCAAAATTAAAATTATGTGGCTTTTTATATAAATTCTAATGATAAATAGCAACACAAACAGTTCGAAAGTATTTAAAATCTGTGATACAAATGTGGCCCTATAATTTGTTATATATATATTGTGGCAGGAAGCATGTGTTTTTACTTGCCTTATAATAGGAATGAATTTGGTATATCAGGTAAGAACATCTTCAATATAAAACTCTATTTTTGAAAATCTATTTAAGAAAAAAAAATTAATTCCATGATAAAATTGAATTTAGTTTCATATCTATTCTATTTTTGAATGAAAATAGAATAATGAACCAAAAAATAAAACTATTATTCTATTTATAGATTAAACCTAGTTTTACTTTGTTACTAGGATAAGAAGCGCATGATGAGTGTATGTACTTAAAATATAAAATTTTAGTATTGCCAAATTTAAAATTTACATATGATTGTTTTTATTGTATTTGAAATTTTTGAAATTTTTATATAATTATCTAGCGTAGGATCAGAAACGATTATAATTAGAACTGTAGATTAAAACTTAGAATTTAATGGATTCTAATAATATATTTTTATACTTTTCAGTGTTCGAATGATGAAAAATAAATGGAGTGTCACATGACTTAATTGGTTGAACATTATCAAGTTCCCTAATGCTTTCTTAAGAATCAGTTGATAGAATATTTACATTTAGAATATATAAAGTTTCAAAACTAATTTAATATAATTTATTTATTTGTCTAATAATATCAGAAAATTATATTTTTAAAATTAACTTTTAAGAAAAAATAATAATTTTATAAAAAAAAATTAAGTTAAATTTTAAATTATAATTATGTTTAAAATTAAATTATTTATTCATACGATATGATATATATATATATATATATATATATATATATATATATATATATATATTAACATAATCACCTATTAAAATAAAATGATTTATTCATAAGATTTTATAATCATTGTAATTTATTACAGAAAAATTAGACCTTGATCACAAAAGTTTATGTGAGATTTTTAACAGTTTTAGTAATTTAAACTCGTTTTAAAAATTTCAAAATACAATACATATATATATATATATATAAAATCTAAACTTTTGTTATATGATTGAAGTAGTTGTGTAATTTATTTTTAAAAAAAAAAATTAAACAAAAATGATATAAAGTATATAGATTGTTAATAAATCTTTATTATTTAAAATTATTAATAGTCATATCTATCTTAATCACATTAGGTAATTCCGTAGGTTTTATTTAAGGAAAAAGTATATAGAAGATTTAGTTTGATATGTTATTTAGTTTCATATGTCTTATATGAGACTAACGGACCTTGTTTTAAAACTATGATTTATATAAGGTGCTCTATAATCGTTCTAAATTGAAATAAAAGACATAGAAAAGTGTTACGTAGGATGAGTTTATTTTTTTAATTAATACAAAATTAAGGTTACAATTTTCAAATATTTCTCAATTAATATAAAGAGGATGTAGTAGAAACATGTGCATTTGTTATATATTTAAACAAATAGCATTTAGAAAGATCAAATACTTAATTTACATAAACTAATATACTTGTTAACAAGTTGTTGCTTATAAAAAAAAAAGTTGTTGCTTATAAGGCTGTTCATAACCGAACGATTAGGTTCTGAAGAATCTCTTTACACTCCTTCACGTGACAAACCTTTTTAATTGTTTTCAAAAGTCTTCAAAGTAATTATCGACTCCTTTTAGAAGAATCTTGGCAAAAAAAATTTCTGTGGACCAAGAGAGTCGTCTTATAGCTAAATTCGTATTTTTTTTCATTAGGACGCTTTATAAACAAATGCATAATAAATTTGTGACAAAATTGATAAGATAATACAAATCTGCCAAACACACCAACTTACATGCAGGATCCGATTCGAAGACGAATTGAGTTTAGATATTCCCATAAAAACCTCAGATATATCAAATTGAAAGGGATCCAGCTTTTTACTAACGTAGAAATCTATCATTCCAGGCCACAAATTAGCTGGTGGCTTTTTATATGATTACTGGTTTAAATACTGAAAATACTATATCATAAAACAACAAAAATCGGTATCGATTGACCAAAGCACTCATCGTCTTCCTGTTCATGTTTATGTTCCAGTGCCTAACGAGTTTCTCATCCACGACACTGTTTATTGAATAGCAACAATCAATAAATCTAGTTAGAAAGAACATTGTAAAGTATTTTTGTAGTCTTTCAACTAGCCAATGAGTTTTTTTAGTTATGTTTTAAATTTTGAAAACTACCAAAATTAGCAACTAAGGAAAAAAAGAAATCAAATTAATTAGCGTATATAAAACTGCAAACGAGTAAGCAGCTAATAACTGAACAAAACAAGTTTTACTTGGTCAGACACTCAAAATTCAAGTATCGCACGAACTTGAAGTGAGGACACTGGCGCAAATCGTGTCCAAAAATCTGTCACATAATAATATAACAAGAGATTAATAGGATTTAATTCAACAAAAGGTGTAATATCCTTGCTTAAAACTTTAAAAGATAAAAGTGATATTCTTATAAGAAAGTGATGTATTTATAATTTATACTCAAAGAGGAAAAGTTACATAATAAAAGCAAAAAAAAGAGAAAACCATTTAATAGATTCATTCCATACACGAACGACCGTGTCCGTAGCAATAACTATATATGCATATGCTATATGAATGGTTGGTAATAAATACTATACCTGGAAGAATACTAAATTTGTGTAAGTCAGTCACGAGATTATCGCGAACCAACGAAAGACACACAGAGCGGACCAGACTCACGAGTTTCGCGACGCCCACCATAATGACACTCCTCAGTGTCATCCCTTGTAAATTAATTACTATGGATAATCTTTGATATCACAATTTTTTTTTTGGTTTTCTAGTCACTCAATTTCCTTTTGAGAAAATCCAAATAAAGAAAGCCATTTGTCTGCATCGGGGACTCACTAGTATGCGTTACTCTCCCTTTTTAGTGTTTTTATTTATTTTATTTCACAACTTTTTTAATAATACAAGGGAAATTAAAAGATGGAAGCGTGTGGGTCCAAAGTCCAAACCGTCAATTTGGATGATGTGGCAATATCTCGTGGGGAATTGAATGAAAAAAAGAGAGAAGAGTCATCACAGTTCAAAGCCTTATTATTTGCTTATTTATACACCTTCGTGTTCGATTTCACATTTCTTTAGGATCATTGTTCCTTTTTCATCTTTACCTGGAAAAATATCTACCTCCTCGTTTATTACTGAGATCGAAACTAGTGGTAGAGTTGTGTGCTAAACAAGTCAGAGAATATGAGAAACGTGAACAATAGCATCGATACGGTGAGCGCCGCTGCTTCTGCCATCTTCTCCTCCTCCCAGTCAAGAGCACACTCTTCGACGGTGCAGGTAACTATAAGCACACTGTTTTAAAAATAAAAATATATAATAATTGCCTACGTTTTCCGACAGGAGATCTTTATTACAGTATATGTCTGTTTGAAGAGTTAGTAGTTATAGTTCGGTCTGTAACCGATCAAGAATCTTGTTTTTTTTCTTTTTTGAAATTCAGAAGAAAAAATGGGGAAGCTGCTGGAGCTTGTACTGGTGTTTTGGATCACAAAAGAACAACAAGCGTATCGGCCACGCGGTGCTTGTACCCGAACCGGTTACCTCCGGATCAGCTCCGGAGGCTCCAGTCCAAAACTCTTCAAGCAACTCAACTTCTACTTTTCTTCCCTTCATAGCTCCTCCTTCATCTCCTGCATCGTTTCTTCAGTCAGGTCCTCCATCTATGTCCCACACTCCTCATGGTCTACTCTCCTTAACCGTCAACACATATTCCCTAAACGAACCGTCTTCAGCCTTTGAGATTGGACCTTACGCTCACGAAACTCAACCCGTGACTCCTCCTGTAGACTCTGCTTACACAACTAGACCATCCACTGCGCCGTTCACGCCACCTCCAGAGTCAGGGCAGATGAGTTCTGCAACACCTTCTTCCCCTGAAGTTCCCTTTGCTCAGTTACTTACTTCTTCTCTGGAACGGTGCGGAGGAGTTAATCAAAACTTTTCAGCTGAACAGTATGAGTTTCAGTCGTATCAGTTGGGGTTTGAGGACTTCACAGCGCGTAAATGGGGGTCGAGATTCGGTTCTGGATCCATCACACCTGCTGGTCAAGGTTCAGGTGCTCTGACTCCTGATGGTGGTGGAGGATACGGTTCAAAGCTTGATTCTGGGAATCTGACGTCACTTGAAGGCTGTGTTTTTGGATATTCAGATCACGGGTCGTCATGGAACGACGAAGCTGTCACGGTTGCTCATAGAGTTTCATTCGAGTGTGGAGACTTAGCACGTTGTTTCGCAAGTAAGCTAAACCGAGTTGGTTTAGATGAGCAAACCGGTTTCAATGAGGCGGTTTCGGTTTCACCTACAAACCGATGGAGTGACGAAACGTGGGGAGAAAGAGAGAGCGAACTGAGTCACAAGTTGAGAACGTTTTCGCTAGGGTCGAGCAAAGAGTTCAAGTTTGATAACACAGAAGAAGTAGTGAGAACGGAGTGGTGGGCAGATGAGAAGGTCGGTGATGACAGTCTAGGAAACAGTTGGAGTTTCTTTCCGGTGTTAAGGTCTGGAGGATTCAGTTGACTAACTGAGAAAGAAGAAAAGGGTTTCCATCTTCTTTATTACCAGAAAAAAACTCTCTAACACTGGAAGCAGAACAACGATTTGGTAATAGATTGGGGTCTAACAACTATACATATATTGTAGGAATCTATGCTGTACTGATATGATATATATTATAATATGGTAGACTTCATATTTAGCTATATCAATTTCATTTCAAAATTTCAAGTTTAAACCATCACAATGGAGAAAAAGGTCAAGAAAATAACAAATCAATGTCTTTCTAGCTAGAAAAAGAAGTAAAAAAGAAAGAATGATGACTCTTAAAATCAAGAAAAATCTCTCTAAAAGCATAGAAAACGATATGTCTCTCCCGCTAATACTGCACTTTTGGTATACCTAAAAAATGATACTCTGGTCCAGAATCAAGCTCGTTTACCTCTGTTTTGGAACATACATTACCTTCGTGTCCTTTTCGGGTTTCTTCCTGTGCTTTGGTCTTGCGGCGGTTATAACACCATTTGAGGATTCGTGAGTGTTGTTGTTACCCGATACGTCTGTTTCCTGAGACAGAACCAACGTCACGTGTTCTCCAGAGGTTGCCTCTTTCCATCCTATGCAAGCCAATTTAGATTTGAGTTAACTACTTTTAAAACATTGAAACTAAACAATAGGGAGACTAGACGAGAAGTTAAAAGAAGTTTTACTCTTTGCAAGAAACGCCTTCGCTTCGTCCAAGCTTATGTTATGAGCTGTTTTAACTTCAGGTACGGTTAAGCTTGAGTTCTTATCCTTTTTGTCTGTGTTTTCATCGATCTTTCCCTGACTGCTCACTGGCCTCCATACCTTTTCAGTTGATTGCTCAGAAGTGGCTTTCGCCTCAACAGTCTTCGTTCTTCGCTCCTTTTCACTGCATTTTGTTTGGTTATGTTCTCCGGTGTTTGGGATTGTTACACTTACAGATCCAATCAGAAGAACCTCACTGTTCTTTGCTTCATCCGGTTCATTCACTGCTGCGTCTGGTGATATGGATTTGGGGTTATTTGCTTTTCGGCTCCAAACTTTGGTAGTATTCCCTCTTCCGTCTCGGTTAGTTCCATTCTTTCGGATGCCTCCAAGTTTTGGGGCGAGATTACCGAGAAACCCCTGGTGTGATCTTTTCTCCATCTGCCTTCGGCCACTTCGCCTTTCCATGTTTTGGCCATTACCAAAGCCATCATCATCAACCATTAGTGCTTGAGTTTCACCGTTCCTGTCCATTTCCAAAACTTGAGGCTCCTCGAGGGATGAAGAATCCTCAGTTGGTATGGAATCTGATCTCTGTGCCTCGGAATCTGAAGCTACAGATAATGGGATTGATGACTCAGCTGGGGAATGTTGTTCTTCTGATGTGGTACTCTCGTCTTCCTTAGCATCTTTTTTCTGGTCCTTTACTCTTTGTTCTTTCTGTCTTAGCTTCTTCCTTTTCTTCCTCTCCAAGAGCTCAGCTTGTCTGCTCCAGACATAATACAAGTGAATAAGACTTAACGCTTGGAAACCAATTCAGAAGAAGAGACTCTTCATTTAGTAATGTTCTATGACTAGCATTGCAGTTGATAAGCACGCACCTTCTTTGAGCAGCCTCTTCCTCTTCAACCAGTAAATTTTGGCACCTCAGGGCTTCCGCATCTTTGTTAGCAAGCCATGCTTTAATCTTTACATTAAGAATACAAAAAAAAACACATGTAAGTAAAGTCCTCGTATTAGACACTTTGCACTGCCAACTAGAGATCAATGTTGAAACCTTAAAAGAAAAAAATTACCAATCGCTGTTCCAGAAGAAAGCTTGCGCAAGCAACGACATTTTTTGCCTCCAGCACATTTTTTCCAATTTCACCGTCAAATATGTATTTTTGCATTGGTGCAGCCTCATTACACAGGAAAGTTTTTTCACTTGCTTCATCGAGAATGCTAAAGAGTTTCTGCGAAGAAATTGGAAACCTAGGTGTTCTAGCCTGAATAATATCCTGGAGAAACAGGAGCATGTATCACTATATCAGCCATGAGTTAAGCATTGAGGATACTCTTTATCCAGAAAGGTAAAAAGGAAATTCGTACCAAAAGGTCAGAACCAGCTCTTAGATAATATTGTGGCAGAGCAGTATATCCTGGTTTTTCGATAAGTGACATTAGTCCTGACTCGACTGATTCCCCAGCAACATCCTACAAGAATCAAAACAAAGCACCTTAAGCTGGAAACGTCTGCAAAGCATATTGATTAGTCACACAGGTCCATGATGCAGAAATAGAATGAGAAAGGGTAACAAGAAATGGGACAGTATGTATCAGGTATGCATACTTATCAGACGTGCGATAGTATATATACGAGTTAGGTATGATATACTCTTGCTTTTCTAACTAAAACGTATTTCTTTGGAAATTAATCCTGTAACCCTGATGAAGTCATATGGCATTCTAAGAAACATATATAACAGTGTTATTATCGTATCACACCTTGCACAACTGAAGAGAAAAAGCAATTAGGCCTTCATACAGAGTCAAAACCCTAGAAACGATGTGACAAACAACAATGAAATGAGTCACTAGGAAGACAGAAGAAGATGCAATACTACACTTATATGCGATGCTAACCAGTTACTAATTACTATGCACTTTAAATGGCAGAAGATAAGAAATTTTTAGTGCAAAATAAATGTAAAGTGGAATTATATACTACCTCCAGCATCATGCCCTTTAGTGAGAGAATCTCGTTTGCATCAAGTACAGAGAGCTGAAATTACCAGAGGGATCGAACATGGTCATTACATAAAGGGAAAAAACAACTATTAGAAACTGGCAATAACTAAGAGAAGATGAATAGTGATAACTACCACTACCTTATCCCAAAATGCTCCCAGCGCATCCCTCTCTTTGTTGGAATCCTAAAACCATGCAAACACAATCTTCAGATGATTTTTGAGAAAAAAAAATGGACTAAAGCAACCAGGCGTTAGAAAGACATAAAACAAAAGAAGCAGAGTTAAGTTCAGACAAAGCAAACCTTTTCAGGCTTTCTTGAAGGCCGATGAATACGGCTATGCCTTCTATGGTTCACAGGAGAGAAGAACTCCCTGGTGCACTTTTTACACTTGAGCAGTTCTATCTTCAAAGGAGCCAGCAATGGCCACCCTGAGAACGAAATAGAACATCAAACAGATTCCAGATACCACACCCCAAAACCACAGATGTTATTCAACAATCACTTTAATCTAATATGATAAACATATCAAGACAGCACAACTATATATTTCACCCACATAACTCCTAATCCACTGATTCCAGTTTTAGAGAAGTACTTGTTGTATCTTCAAAGGTGTCAGCAAAATGGGAACGAAATAGAACATCAAATAAATCCCATGTACACCATACAGGCTATTCAACCATCACTTTGATCTAATACGACAAACCTCTCATTCTCAAGACTTTAAAACTAGATATATTTTTCCAACTCTAGAGTAGTTGTTGTATCTTCAGAGTAGTCAGATATGGCCAGCCTGGGAACGAAATAGAACATCAAATAAATCCCCAGACACCATGCTCCAATACTCAACCATCACTTTAAATCTAATTATGATACACCTCTCAACTCTCAAGCCTCATAAAACCACATACTCAATCCACTAGAGTACTACGTCTTGGACAATCATAATGGAAGTAGATCAGTAGAGATTACCTGGACGCTCTAAGTTATGGAGGAGTTGAAAGAGCTGAACTGAATTGTTATCAGGCCTAGGGAAGGAAAGAAAAGGATCTTTTCCAACCGCGCGTCTGATAAGCATATCAAGAGAATCATTCCCATCTTGTTTCACCAGCTCCATCGAATTCAACTGCAAAAAAACATCCATTAACAAACTCACATCTCCCCCTATATATATATACAAATCAATCACATAGTTATTCGATTCAAATCACCAGAACCACTAACACAGACGCCTAAAATCTCCTAGCCATGGATATTCCACATATAAACACAATCTATATATAGTATAGGTTCCCTAAGCAGCTCTATGTACAAATCAATCACATAGTATCAATGATACAGAATCGATTTGAGTGTTGAAGTCCCGATCACGCACCAGTAAAGCAGTAAGAGGAGATCGGGCGTGCGCGCAGAGAGGAGGGGGAAGGAGAGAAGGAATCAAGTAGGGATCCTAGGCGAGGAGATTGGGAGGAAGGAAAGAAAGTCGCGGAGAGAAAGTGATGGGACGCAAATAAGAAAATTTTCTTGAGGAAGAGAGGAGGGAGGGAGGCAAAGGGGAGCTGTCGACGAAAAAGATTTACTGTATAAAGGCGTACGGAGAAAACAAACTTAACCCTCGGGGGCTCCATCCCCATTTCATTATTTTTCCACCTTTTATTATTATTTTATTTAAATTGGTAAAAGAAAAAGATTAGGATAGACTTAAACAAGTTTTTGTCACAAATATAGAAGAGAAAATTATTAGAATAAACCTAAAAAAATTTTTATCACAAATATAGACTTTAACAATTAAAATGGCTAAAATAACACTTAAATGTTTTATTAAATATACATTTATAGTTCTTGAGTTAACTAATTCTAGATTTTTTTGTTTAGAGTTGAGGAGTGGGGTTTTGGGGATAGAGTTTCGAATTTAAAAAAACTTAAGAAAACTTAAAATTTTCAAAATAAAAAGTGCTATTTTGGTCATTTTAATTTTTGAGGTCTATTTTTGTCATAAAAACTTAAAAGAGGGCTATTTAAAAGAATTGTCCAATATAGAACTTTAAAAAATAAAATGATCAAAATAGCATGTAAATATTTTATTAAATATACATTTATAATCCTTGAATTAACTAATCCTATATTTTTTTGTTTAGAGTTGAAAAGTGGGATTTTGGGGATAGGATTTTGGGGATAGGATTTCAAATAATAAAATATAAAAAAAAACTTAAAATTTTCAGAATAAAAAATGCTATTTTGGTCATTTTAATTTTCGAGATTTATTTTTGTAATAAAAACTTAAAAGAGAACTATTTGAGAGAATTGTCTTTGATAAAAATACCATTTTTTCTTTAATTGATTCTAATTTTACTTTTTTTCTTAATGTATAAGATATGACTTTTCAAGCTTTGGATGATGTGTTTAAAAAAGACTAGTCTTTGAGAGGTATACATGATTCATGCATATTTGTTTTGATCTCTTTGGTCTGATGATTCACCCACTACTGATTTATACTAATTTTTAAAGAAAGAAAATATTTAAGTATTCTAGAAAAACCAATTTATTAAAATTAAACAAATTAACGAAGAAAAACCTTATAAGAAACGTTCACTGTATTATTATAAGTAAAATCGTTAAACTTGGATTGAAGGTGGTGTACAAGTAAAATCGTCATATGTAGATCCTTTAAAAGTTTTAAGTTAAAACAAATAAAATCGTCAATTGTAAAATTGTCTATATAATATTTAACAAATCAGTGTTAAAATAATGTTTTTCAATGTATTTAGAAAACAAGTGTGATATGTTAGAAAACAAATTATAATTTGGATAGTCAAATACTCAAATGTGAACTATACAAAACCACCAGAAAAAAAAACAGCTGTAATATTGAAAATGTTTTCAATTATGCCACCATTATTTTCCGACATGATGAGAACGCTTCTAAGAAATCAACAAGCGTTACAGCTTTTTCTGCAGGTACCAAAGTAATCAGGAGAGCCAATCATATAGACAGGGTTCTTCTCGCACTCCCCAAGCTCAGCCCATCGTCCACAGCTCTCATCTTCATCACTGCATTCAGCACTCTCCATCTCATCATCCTTTCTTGCTTGTTTCTTTGCGTATATAAGTTTTGTCGCCACCAAGAGTTTCCCTTCTAGCACAGGGCATCTAAAATGAGTGCTTGTTTGATCCAAAGATGCGTTCAAATGTCTGGTGAAGAACAGAACTGCGTTTCCTTTTACTGGTTTTAAGATGTTACTGGTCTCTGAGCAGTCGGCCAAACTCCTTTTGAGTTTCACCTGAAGGAAAAAAAGGATAGAAAAATGGATTCAATATATTCTTTGTGTTGTGCCAAATAGACTCATCTTTTTGCTTCTCAGGTTATGTACTAACCTCTGCATTTGGGAAGAGAAGATCTCCGCCTTGAGTTGTATTTGAGACGTAGAGAATGACGGTTGCCAACAAAGACTCAAGCGACACTGAGTTAGATTCTTCTCCAAAGTAATCTAACTTGCTGTCTGAATTCTCCGAAGTGTAGCTTCTTACCTTGATGGGACCGCTGTTTTCTGAAAGATGTGCATCCAAAGGAAACACAAGCAAGGAGATAGGCCAAGAAGAAACCAATTACAAACCTAACTCAAGAAAAGAGGTCAAATAGACTAAAAAACCAAGTAATGTAAAAGCACAGAACTACCTCTTGGGAGGAAAGTCCACGCAGAAATTCTTTCTTCAATCCCAGCAACTATTGGGTCCTAATTGTTATGGCCATTCATAATATCTCCGTTAAGTCAATAAGGATGTATGAGAAATGTAACGACTTTTGTGTCACAGAAAAAAACTACAAGCATAGTTACTTGAAGAACATTTAAGCATCTTCAAAGTGTTTCAAGAACAAGCTTGAGTATCTGAAAAATTCAAAAAAAACTAAGAACATACCGGCACATCTAAGACGTGCTCAGAACTAGCAAGTTGCCTCTTCCAGTTAGCATCTACTGATTCAACCTCTGAAGTTTCCTTTGCCTACAGAAAAAAAAGAAACAACCATTTAATCAAAGAAAAATATAATTAAAAACCAGAAAGTAATGAGCAAATGTACCAGATGATCACACTCTTCCTCTGACAAGAACCCACGGTAAAGGAAGACCCTGTGATGATGCATACCAAATAGTTTTCAGACATAATACATTAGTAAACTCTTGCAATAAATTGCAGACCTGACCTTGGATGCCATGAAAGCTGAAGAACACGTCTCGGATCCACCGACTTTGATCCAAATACATAACTCTCACCCTCGTTTTCTTTATCTCGTAGTTCCTTTCGACTGCATACATTAAAAAGGAGAAAATAAATAAATAAACATTGTCGCAAGCCCATTATTTGCAAACATGAATTAAAAGCTACATGCATCGATCGGCCTCTAAAAAAAAAGAAACATATGATCGCAGCTCAGTGATATGTGATTGGTAAATGAAGGATCTGGAAAAACGCACCTTCCACCGGAGATGAGAGGATAAGAGGAAGAGATAATGATCAGAATAAGGAAGATTAGGCTAAGGGAAGCCATTGCTCCAGTGATGGTGGTAACATTGCATCAATGAATATCTCATGAATATTCTTTTCCCTAATTCATCCGATGAACACGATGATGTGGCGGCGTCGTTTTAGGGGATTGTGACTTGCACATTTTTACCTTAAAAGTTTTGAAATATATTACAAAGAACCTCCCAGGTTTCCGATTTCCTACATCTACCCCGTACTAACCAAAATTACAAAAAATACCATTGCAAAACTTCACAATGTAATCCTCGGAAGTAATTCGACTTTAGAATGTCATTTTTTTTTCTTCTGGTACAAGTTTATAATAGGGATAATTTGAAAAATACTCTGTTTATAGTTTAAATTTTGAAAACTGCATTTCTCTTTTCAATTTTTGAAAATTACACTTTATTAGCAATGGACATTTTTCTCCAAGTTACATCTTATACAATAAAATGGAGTTTTCTCCCTTCTTAGGATGTCCATCTTAGCATTTGTGATAGGGACAAAAAATGACATGTCAGCACCCTTAATCAAATTAAACCGACTTCCTGGCTCGGTTTGGTTTAACGGATATAACTCAGTAACTTCATCTTTATCTCTTCCTCGACGACGTAGCTTTTGATGTGTCGTTCAAAGTTCCATCTCATGGCTCTGATGGTGAGGCTGGGTAACTGTCCTTGGTTGCATTCAGTTAACCGCATTTAAGTTGGCTTTACCACCATTGACCCACTCCTCCCACAATCCTTCCTTCAATGGACCCTCTCCTTTCTTAAACACTACGATTCTACACCTATAAATAAGGGTTCTCGATTCTGAATCATCAATTTCTCCTTCTCAATCATTAGTACCAGGCTGCCTCATCGATTTTGCTCGCCGAATTAAAAGCTGGCGGCTGTTCCAGCACTATAGAAACCGTTTCCTGGCTTCAGCTTTGTTGTATTCTTTCCTTTGCCTTCTTTCCTCTAAATCTTTGATACATACATCTATTTTACTCTTGGAAATTTCATCTCTATGATCTCTTAATCACTTGATTGTTACTCTTTCTTTGCTTGTGATGCTAGACATGATTGTCATGTGCCTTAGATACTCTAAGCGGTCAAGCTTGTGGAGCTATGCTCTACCGGAAACTAGGTGCTCAGACTTATACAGCTATGTTCTATCTTTTTTTTTTTTGTGAAACAGCTATGTTCTGTTTTACATTAGTTTGTTTCCCTCTTTCTATTGTATGGTTCATCGTGGATAAGTTTTTTGGTTTCCTTGTCCAAGACCACTCCATCGCGCACGAAGCCGGCATATATGTTGCCTGCTCATCCATGGACTCTTCTCTTACGCCGTTCTACAACCCCTCGCTCGCTAATTCCAAAACCAGATAATTATCAGAACCCTCCTCACTACCTCTACTTTTGTGTTATGTCTCCACGTTCTTCTATGTAGGTTCTGGTTTACAAGTCAGTGCTTGGTTTCCTCACTTGGCTAAGGGTTTGTCAAACTGGATTTATGTTGTTCTTCTCAGATCTATCATGTGGTTATTTCTATGTTTTGTGTGCCCCTCTATGGAGATATTTAATGGCACTGGATAGTTCTTCAAATATGCTCTTCTTTCTACCACTATGGTTTGATATTTTCTCTTTTCAATGTGCCTTTCAGATTCTCAATGCCACCACATTGTTTTTATAAAGTATTTTTCATGTGTTGCAGTCTATAATGGTGGACATATGAACTTATAATATTAGTCCATGTTACCAATCCAGAACGGGTGACTTATGTGCTCTCTGTCAGGTAACTTCTGTTGCATCTATATTTCATTGTCTTCTCAGTCTTGAATTTTCCCAACATAATATTATTCAATCTATGTGCAGTTTCCAAACAATTATGTCAATCTATTCAACACCACTTGCCATCACAGCTGCATCAAGGTTAGAGCTTTAGTCATTACCTTTGTAGCAGAAAAGAGTTGAAGCATACGATTTGCATGTGTAGCGCAACAATCTCAAACCAACCACAGATTTATTGTTCAATACTGTTTGCTCTCTGATTCTTCACATGTTAAACTGTCAAGGGTTTCTTAATCTCCTCATTTTAGTGTCTTTTCATATTATGTACGAATTCATTACTTAGGATTTGTTTATCGATCCTCACAATCTTCATGTATGTTCCTGATGTGCCGTTTGTATTCTACTCTCAGAGTTATTGTAGTTTTTTTATTATTTAACAGATTTTACCCTTATCAACCACTCCTAACCATAGTTTAAGATGGTAATAAGTTATTGTAAATTTGTTAATTTTTTAACAGGTTTTACCCTTATCAAAGAATCATAACTTTCCCCTTTTTAATCACTAAATTCAAGTTTTGAAAAATAAATAAAAAATAACAAAATTCTGATATAATCAATATAAAAATTAAAATAAATTCCCTCCGTTTCATTTTATTTGTCATTTTAGGTTTTTGCACACAGATTAAGGAAATATTTAATTTTACATATTTTCAAGATAAAAACACAATTACCTATACACCTAACCACTTTTCAACCAATAGAAAAATAGAATATTATATAAAACTAATCAATTTTACCTCGAAACTTTAAAACGACACTTAATTTGTGACAAAAAAATAAGCCTAGAATGACATATATTCTGAAACGGAGGGAGTAGTTTGCAAGACAAAAGATAAAAAGATATAACAAATATAAAAATAAAATTATCGGAATATATAATTTATCCAAAATACAAAATTTAACACCGAATACATAAATTTTAAGAAGATATTGGAGAATTCATAACAACAAAAAACAGATGAGGCCATTTACAATGTTGTTTTTCTTTTAGCGTTGCCTCAAGCTAAGATGAACAAAAATTAAAATTGAAAATAGTGTAACTTATCGATTTTTCTCTTTTGGTATAAAATAAAGCCAAAAAAACTAATAAAGTATTGAAAAAATCATCAAAAATAATACACAACTACACCAAAGATTTCAAAAAGCCAGAAACAAATAACAAAATATAAAAATATATTTGCATAAATAGTGAGAACTATAGAAAATAGAAAAATTTAATGATTTATAGCAACTTTGTAAATGATTATTGTAAATTTGTTAATTATTTAACAGATTTTACCCTTATCAAAGAATTCACGTACTATACATATTTTTTTTTATAAAAAGAGAAGAAACCTTTCGCAGAGGAAAAAAAAGAACAATTCCAATATAATATTGTTTTCACATTTCATCAAACTAAAGACAATTAAAATATATAAGAAGTTATGCTCAAATAACTTTCCCCATTTTAATCACTAAATTCAAGTTTTGAAAAATAAATAAAAAATAACAAAATTCTGATATAATCAATATAAAAATTAAAACATAGTTTGCAAGACAACAGATAAAAAGATATAACAAATATAACAATAAAATTATCGGAATATATAATTTATCCCAACATACAAAATTTAACACCAAATACATAATTTTAAGAAGATATTGGAGAATTCATAACAACAAAAATAGATGAAGCCATTTACAATGTTGTTTTTCTTTTAGCGTTGCCTCAAACTATGATGAACAAAAATTAAAATTGAAAATAGTGTAACTCATCGTTTTTTCTTTTTTGGTATAAAATAAGGCCAAGAAAAACTAATAAAATTATTGAAAAACCCATCAAAAATAATACACAACTACAACAAAGATTTCAAAAACCCAGAAACAAATAACAAAATATAAAAATATATTTGCGTAGATAGTAAGAACTCTAGAAAATAGAAAAAGATTAATGATTTATAGCAACTTTGTAAATGAATATTGTAAATTTGTTAATTATTTAACATATTTTACCCTTATCAAAGAAGTCATGTACTATACATATTTTTTTATAAAAAGAGAAGAAACCTTTCGCAGAGGAAGAAAAAAAGAACAATTCCATTATAATATTGTTTTCAGATTTCATGAAACTCAAGACAATTAAAATATATAAGAAGTTATGCTCAAATAACTTTCCCCATTTTAATCACTAAATTCAAGTTTTGAAAAATAAATAAAAAATAACAAAGTTCTGATATAATCAATAAAAAAATTAAAACATAGTTTGAAAGACAAAAGATAACAAGATATAACAAATATAGCGATAAAATTATCGGAATATATAATTTATCCAAAAAACAAAATCTAACACTGAATACATAAATTTTAAGAAGATAATGGAGAATTCATAACAGCAAAAAATAGATGAAGCCATTTACAATGTTGTTTTTCTTTTAGTGTTGCCTCAAACTAAGATGAACAAAAATTAAAATTGAAAATAGTGTAACTCATCAATTTTTCATTTTTTGTTATAAAATAAGGCCAAGCTAAACTAATAAAATTATTGAAAAAAACCCATCAAAAATAATACACAACTACAACAATGATTTCAAAAAGCCAGAAAAATAACAAAATATAAAAATATATTTGCGTAAATAGTGAGAACTCTAGAAAATAGAAAAAGATTAATGATTTATAGCGAAAATCTAAAGTTATTTTTCCATTTAATTATCTAAAACATACCCTATTTATTTATTCAAAAAGTATATAAATATATACTTAACTTGTGTTTTCTTTAATCAAATAAACATGATGCTAATGAATGACAATAAATAAAAAGGGATCATATAAGAACAGTTGTTTGATAAAAAATTAAAAATAAATCCCATTTATATAAAACGTTTGTGAAATGATAAACTTAACTATCCAAATAAATTTCCGCCTGAAGCGCGGATACTATACAAAAAGGTCAATAATAACATGCATCATGTGTGCTCATCTTAAACAATTTCAGTGTAAAATTCACATAGTCTTCGTACACTTCATTTGAAAAGTTTTAATTCTGTGTAATCTCAATATTAAAATTTGAAATACAGTAACTATTATGTACTATGCAAATGATACTTAATAATTTATTTGTGTTCTCTATATTAAATAGATATTCACTACTCAGACCGCTTATCATCAGTGTAGTCGGAAAAATGTTGACTGCTAACTTCATGAAGAATTAAAACACAAATCACTAACCTCAATATTAAAAAATGGTACAACATAAACAAAATAATTATAAATACAATACACAAACCTTCTGCGCGTAGCGCGGACAACCACTAGTATGTTAATAAAGAGACGGTCAAAAATGATAGACGAAGCATGTCAATTCATAGTCAATGTATTGGTTACCTGAACGTGTATGAAGGTGACATTGACAAACAAAATACCATCATCTCCTTTTAGAACTATCTTGTATTAGAGGTTTTTTACGGGGATTCCCTTGAAGTCTTCGAACACTCATGTAAAAAAAAAGAAAAACATTCAGAGTGTGCATCTATCAAATCAAATTTTGAAACTTGCGTCAGATGAACCAAGGGAGAGAGAAGAACTACCATAAAAAAAACCTGAGCTACAATGTCAGGCGTAAGCTGTTATGAAATTGATCTCCTGAGGAACTTCTATATTATTCATTTGCAAGAGAGGAAAATCTAACAGCACCATGATTAACTTCAAGCCTTCCGAGTTCTGGCCACGCCATGTGAACGATATCAGAAGCACCTAGAAGTGCTTAAGCGAGGTAAAAACGGTTTTGGTGCCTTGATCCTCCCATTCAACTCTTTCCATCCATTCTTTGTCTATGTAAAAAAGTTCAACCTTCAAAACACTCTTAGAATCTAAAGGAAGCTTTCTCAGCTTCTCACAATTGCCTAATATGTAAAGATCTGAAACTATACATGTATGAAGGTCTGTCTGATATTTTGAAAAGGCAGAGCATTTCAGTATATCATTACATCCAACAGAAGGACATGTAGTTTCTGGAAAGGAACATTATATCATTTACATCTCCTTCTCTAAGACACTCGCTTTCTCTTTGTTAGGTACTAGTTGCATACCCCCCGCGCAAGCGCGAGGCTGGGGATCATTGATGTTTGCCTGTGTTTTTTTTGGTTGTTGGTTTAGTGGGTTATTCTAATAATACCAAATAATGATGAAATGGAAAGAATGTAGCAAGAGTGTAAAGTGAAAATATTATATATATAATGTGTTAAATGTTATTTATATGTGAAGTAAGGTTTATAGGAATAACGAAATTATAATATATTTTCTAGTGTATAATAATAGCTGTCTATCTTGTTTTTTATTTTGTTATGTTGGAAATATTTTTTATATCAGAGGTCAAAACTTGATATAATTATTTATTTATAGTATATATATTTGTACTAAACGACTTATCAATTTGAAAATAACTTTAATTTAAGCTAATATTTGTTGTTTGAGTTTCAATAGATAGGTTTGGATATGTTTTTTTGTAAGTTTGGATTTTGTTCATGAATAATATGGCATTTTTATTTACGGCGTCATCGACTGTGGAAATCCATTCGCCGGAGTCTGATAAATGAAATTATAGTAACTATTAAAAATTGAAGAGAAATTACATAGTTATTTTATAAATAAAAAAAATACTTAAATTTTTTTGTTTCTTTCACATACATAATTTTTTGAAAATATATATTAGAAAATATGTTATAACATAAAATATATATTAAGACATGATAGTACCACGTGGGACTCATTTTGTTTTTTGTTTTTTGGACTGTTCGTTTTTTTATTCTTTTTTAATTGTTTTTTGGTCTGAGTTCGTCAAACTTTAGGAAACAATAAGTCCAGAGGAAAAAAACATAGTAACAATAAAACTAAAAAACCATATGATAATAATTCAAACAAAAAAACAAAAATACATAACAGCTACGCGGTTTGAACCCACACACTTGTGGACTTCATTAGATGCCGTATACCACTGGGCTAAAGTATATTCATTGTTCATACTCATTTTAAACAAACTCTAAGCTTTTAAAATTTAAATGTGTGGGACCCACAAACTTGCTGACGTGGACAGCTTTAGGAATCTTAGAAGTGAACTATTATAATATAGATTTCCTAAAAGCACAAAAGCAGAACTATCTTCAGAACGAAACAACAAGCATGATTAGAAAAGGTAAATCTTATTATAAAACCATGAGAGAACTCAATTGATAATTTTATAATCATTACAGAACCGAATTAAAAATCGAGATAAAGAAAGTTAAGAAAATAGTGCATGTTTATCTGAACTTTGAAAAACATAGTTGTTAATCGTGTTATTTTTAATATTCATATTGGATAATTTGGTCAATTTACATATACAGAAGTGTAATTTTCAAACTAAATAAATAATGGTGTAAAAATTATAATCTTACATGGATGTATTTTTAAAAATTTCCCCTTTATAATATGAATTGATTATGAAATAAATGAAAATCAATAACTTCAGAGCAAAAAAATGTTACAAATTTCATTTAATAATTGCTAAGTTTTATGAGTTCTCTCAACCAATTAACAATGAATGAATTGATTAAAATATTTTAATATATTATTGAAAGTTTTTTTACTACTCACACATTTCTTAGAATTTAAGGTTTATGGTCCATTATTTCTTTAATATATGTTCAATTACTATGATGAGTTATATTGAAGTTTTTGTAAGAAATAGTTTTTCTTTATAATTTTTTTTTTTTTGAAAATAAGGATAACTGGTAAGATTATTGGATATTGGTACTGTCACTTCACAACAACCAAAGGATTGATCATTAGCAAAGGATATTGGTAAGATTAATAGATATTGACCATTACTTTGTAGTCTCTATGTGTTTTGGTGTATGAGATATAGTCCGTTCCTAGGCATTTGATTCTCTGCATGATTTTTCTTAAAGAGGGAAATGAGCAAATAAATTCAACCTAGCGATCAAAGGTGAACAATAACATATCATGAATGTATGGATGGATGGTGGTGTAGAGTGTAGACAAATTGCTGCTAAAAATAGAACGGAAAGTGCCTTAAAAGAGGGATGGTTAGGCGAATTTTAAAGTTTGAGAAAATAACAGATTTAACCCAATATTAAAATTAATAAATAAGACCTTTTGTTTGTTCGAGTTTGTCCCGATCCTCTCTTCACGAAACAAATAAGATTATCCTCCAAAGTTACATTCGTCTTTTTCCCCTGTTTTCCAGAAGACAATCGATATTCACACAAGAAAAACACAAATCTCTGTTCCTCAAGTCTTACCATAGAAACTGAACAAAAACAATGGGTTCTTCTCTTTCTTCTAGGTTTGTTATAATTTTGTAGGCTTGTTGTTTCTAGACAATGGCCTGTAGAAGGCAATTAAGGTGATTTAGTTTTATTCCAAGTTAAGGATATTGTATTTATTTTTTAATCAGCCTGAGTTTTGATAGAACATCTGATTATGAAAAACTTAAATATAGATGCTTACGCCGAGTTGAGGAAATATAGATTTAATTTGGATGCATATCATGCTAGTATTTCTAATCATGTTAGATCTCGAATTCTCAATGTAGCCATGTTACATATTGACGTGTTAGTTCTTGAATTCTCAATATCTCCGTTAAGTTGATAAGTATGTATGAGAAACGTAACGACTTTTGTGTCACAGATAAAACTACAAGCTTAAAAGTCTAACATTTAGCATCTTCACCACAGAGTGTTTAAGACCATGACAAAAGATTTCTTGTAAATCTTGAGCAGTGTTCTAAAAATCGCTAGGTGGTAGTTAGACGTCTGTAGACGTCTAGGTCGATTGTTTGAATGCCTATACTCATTTAATTCACTGATCTTGAGTATATCTTCAAAATCTAAGAACATACCGACACTTCTAAGACGTGCTCGGAACTAGCAAGTTGCCACTTCCAATTAGAATTAAGAATTAACTTGCTAATTATAAATGATACATTAGCTATAACATTTGTACGATGATTGCTAAACTTCAACCAAATTTGGAACATATAAAATTAAGATTTAAATTTGATGTAACAGATAAGAAATTATAAATGGGTTTAAGTTTGTGTATTTAAACCACGTATGTGCGGATATTTTTATTTTTTTCAAAAAAATATTTTTAAGTGATAATATATATTTTCAAAACTTACCCGTGTTAAATAATTATTTAATAATGATATATAAACATAGTATTTTTTCGTAAACCATCAATTATATTACCATCAATTTTACAATATGATCAAAAATGTTTTATTGTTATTTTTTTGTGATCAAAATTTTATGGTAATATATAAGAAATTATTTTATACATCTTAAGTTAGTAAATAATTATAATGGTGCTTGTAATATATTTATAGGTGAAGATTAGTTTGGTGGGAGAGGGTGAGACAAATATAATTTTAATTATTACATAAATATTTTGTGATGGCATTAATGTTTATATTATTGATATGTAATATGTAAGTTGAAAAATTTATACTGAATTTTATTGTGAATTTACTTTAGAAAATGTTTTATAATTTTGGAAAAGACATAGAATGCATAAAATTAGGAGTAATGACTACTTCATTAATTTTGTAAAAGACAAAGATTACTTAAATATAGGTTCATTTAATTACTTCAATGCATTAAGTTGTAAATGAGTTGTAAGTTTAAGGGGTAATTTATATTGGTACTTTTATTTTAATAAATAGATAATTTCATGAGCATGTGAATAACTTCTGAGTCAAAACAAAATTGTTTCAAGTTTCATTCAATAATTGCCAAGTCAAAACCAATTTCTCATTGATTCAAACTCTTGATACTGTATATGTGTAGAATCCTGGTTCTAACCGATTTAGAACTAGATATCTGATTTAACATGATTTCCCGTTTAACCTGACTGAAGTCTGGTCTATATCAATTTAGTTTATCCAGCCGAATCGTGCGTTTTTGGTCTTCAGTTTCCCGATTTAGATTAGATAAACAGAAGAAAATGACAAAATCCCAATATGTTATTACATATTGAATTGTATTCTCTTTATTTAGGACATAGTTCATTAGAAAAAAAAAAAAAGGAGACAAGTACAAGTCGATAACATAGTAGCCGTACACATAAGCAAAGCTTTAACTGAAGAAAAGCAGCAAATGAAAATAAAAGGATTCGAGACGAGCCAAGGGACATCATTAAACGTATTTCTCCAAGACACTGAGTAATGCATAAGGATTAGCTCCAACTACCACAGCCACCTTCTCTCCGCCTTTGAAGACAAGAAAGGTTGGCATTGCGCGTATGTCGCAACGTTCTGCGATGGCCTGCTCCACATCAGCGTCAACGGTGTAGAATTTGAACCGCCCCGTGAACTCCTCTGAGAATGCGACATATTTAGGTGCGATGAAGCGGCATGGGCCGCACCAGTCGGCTGTGAACATAACCACGACTGGGAGTTCGGACTTGATTACAAGTGAATCCCATTCCGATTCAGAGATCCTGTTTACGACTTAAAATCATTGGACAAACGAAAAGTTAATGCAAGAAAACGAAAAATTCTAAATCTTTGTTAAGTTACCCTTAAGCTTGGCGGAATGGACCAAGTCATTGTTAGACGGTAGCGATGATGACACGTAAGTCTTGATCAATGCATCTGACTCTGAACACATACCACCATTAAACCCTAAACACACGAAACACGTTATCGTTACTACCAAACGGTACAAAACCCCAACTTGTTCCATCGATACTTTCTGATCTCTGTATTTTGTATATATCTTCCAATTTTTTTTTTTTTTTAAGTGTAGAACACAAAGCCTTCTCTGCTCTTGTTTTATAAGCGTCCATCATTTACATTGATTAATCACCCACGTTTCGTTCGAGACATTATATAATTTACTTTTTGGAAGGTGGAAGCTTTCAATAAGTCAAGTCACCACGTTCTAACTCTGTTGTTCTTAGCTGTCTTTTATCTCTATCTTTCCCACTTACTAATTAAAACACTAATTAAACACGAATTTTCTTAACAACTATCTAATTTAAAAATTTTCCCTCACATTTACCTTTCTTTCACAATTAAAATTTATATAGTCAAATCCCTTATATATAATACGTGGGAATCACGACGTTCTCGCTGCTCACTCTTAGAGCACGTGCAGGCATAAAGGGGGTTTTTTAACTCGTGGGGCCCATTTTTTTTTTGAGAAAACTGATCACCAAAGTCATTAATTAAGAGCACCATCAATCCACATTGCTTAAAATGGGGGTGCTTATTTTATTTTTTCCTTTTTTTTCTTTTTTTTTTAAAAAAAAGAAATAAAATAAAAAATAAACTAATTGTGGGCTGCCACATGTCAGTAGAACCCGTGAATAGTGCAAGCAACTTACAAAATCTGGCGTCTATTTGGGAACAAGAAGCATCTGTTTTTTCATTTTGATGCAACCCACCCTACTATTTTTTTTTTATTTATAAGCCACCATTTTAAGCTCCCTTGGTTAATGCTGCTCTAAGTTTCAATTTTTGTAGGATTTTTACTCTGTGCGTGGACCCCACTGATACGTGGTGGCTCGCGATTGGTGTGCTTTTAATTTTTTTTTTTAATCGACAAAAAATCAAAAAAAAAGGTTAAGAAGTTTTATGGGTTTTAGAGTTAAACATGGTCTTAGCTGTCTTTTTCTAACAGCTTACATAGTGTTTTTTTTTTGTCATCCAAATTTCATTAAAGCCAAGTAAGACCCCATTAAAATACGATTGGACTGAAGCTCATAACATGTGTTTCGATCATTTTTGGGATTGGCCGAGTTCATGAGGCCTAGCAGGAGATATAGTATGTCTAGATAAACCAAGAACCTATATGGTATGCGTCTTGATTCATCACAGTTTGTGTGTACAATCAGTAGTGAAGAGACCATTGCAACGTCCTAAGTTGTCAATGGTAAGTTGGGAATGAATCAAATCGGGTCAAAAGAAGTACAAGTAGAGAAAACAAATGAGGTTGACTTAGTCTGAGGAGAATATTTCGTCAAGAAAAATTGAGAGGGTGAGAGAATCACGAGAGTGAAGCTGAATGTGTGATCATCTTGTTATGGGTGTCCTAGGTTCACGATCTTGGTAAGGTGACGTGAGCTTGGGTGCAGTAGTGTGATGGTGAGTGAAACAAGAGCTTGTATATTGTTTCCTTTTTCCCAAGACATATCAAGGCTTCATTAATAGCCTTGGAAACTCTAATCTCACATATCATTTTCTTTTATGTACATACAATCAAACGAATGCAAGCTAAAGAATGAGATAGTAACTTGAACTTGATCTAGGCTTAAATCACTACAAGTGGTATCAGAGCTAGGTTACAACAGATTTGTGATGATCCAAAGCTTTTCTTCATAGAACTAATCAAGTACTATCACGAATCTCTTATTGATTAGATTTACGGTAAGGGTGATCAAGGAATAGATCTCTATATCAGGATCTTGTGGTTTGTTGTTTAGGATTGCTTGGTTATCTTCTGGTGTGTGTTCTAGGTCATGATCAAACTGAAAGACACTGATCAAAATGGAACTTACGCAAGGATGGTTTGAGATGGAGACCGTGACATCTTTTTTAAAACTCTTATTTGTAATCTTTTTTGGTGTATAATATATAGTCCGTTCATAGTTCATAGGCTTAATATTCTTTTTTTTTTTCTTTTTGAACCACGCATAGGCTTTTTGTGTATGGATGGTGTACACAAATAGCTGCTAAATATAGAATGGAAAGTGCCTTAAAAGAGGGGTGGTTAGGCGAATTTTAAGGTTTGAAACAAAACAACAGATTAAAACCAATACTAAAGATAATAAATAAGAGCGTTTGTTTGTCCGAGTTCGTCTCGATCCTCTCTTCACCATTCTCCTCCAAAATTACATTCCTCTTTCCCAGAGGTCAATCATATTCACACAAAACACCTTAGCAAATCTTTCTTCCTCGAGTCTTACCGTAGAAACTGAACATAAGCAATGGTTTGTTCTCTTCTTTTGTTTTTGTAATCATTTCCAAACATTGGTGGATATAGCAGGATCGATGCGATTTAAGTTTTATTCCAGATTAAGGATTGTCTGAGTTTTGATAAAACATATCTGATTATGTAAATATGAATGCTTACATAGACTCAAATGATTTTCAGAAAGTATAGACTTTGGATGCAAATTATTCTAGTATTGTCTAATCATGTTAGATTTCGATTTCTCAATGTTACCATATTCTATATTGACGTGTTTCTCATTTCCTTGTATTGTTTGTCACGTTTTAATTCATACGTTAACCATATTAGCGTGATAACTCAATACCAAAAACTAAGATTAATTAGAACTAATGTAGCACATATCACATATGTCATAAGCTTCCACATATAGATGTTACTAATGGAACCAAAGACTTAGCTAACATAGTATACAAGAATATAATGGATGACATGATTGAATGCAATGGCTGATATGACTGAATGAAAAGGCGAACGCGGCGTCGGGGATGGCAGTGGAGGACAACTGCAAGCTGAAGTTTATGGAGCTAAAGAAAAGAACCTATCGGTTCATAATATTCAGGATAGATGGGCAACAAGTGGTGGTTGAAAAGTTAGGAAACCCGCAGGAGACTTACGATGATTTCACCAATTCCCTCCCTGCCGATGAGTGTCGCTATGCAGTTTTCGATTTAGATTTTACCACCAATGAAAACTGCCAGAAGAGCAAAATCTTCTTCATCGCCTGGTACGTTATATTAACCTTCCTTCTATTTTTTTTCAGTTTACTGTTATGTGTCATATATAGGATTATAAAGTTAAAACGCTTAGAACATGTACAACATGTAGCCTCATATCCACTTTATACAAACTCACTAAAACAAGACTAATCAGAAATGCAGTTATTGATATTTTCATCAAATTCATATACAAATATACAATATTAATATGTTCATTAAAATTTAGTTATTTAGTTAAAATTTAAATAAAAAATAAAGTTAAGTCAATTACATGGTGGCATATGGAGATGTTTCTAAAAAGAAATATTTTGAGCTTTTCATACGAGACATATTCTTATCATATTTCTACTTTTTCATTTTTATATTGGATAGAACCCTTTGAAGAATTCTCATTCTGGATGTTCTTACTTCTTAGATCAAGTTAGACTAAACAAGCTGTGTAAACACATGTTCATACTTCTTATACTTTTGGGACATACAATACTTTGATTTTGTTTCAAAAACCGTCCTTATGTGTCTTGGCTAAAAACGAAAGGTGTGCTAATGTCTTTGGGTTTGTTGGATGATATATTGTAGGTCACCGGATTCATCTAGAGTGAGGATGAAGATGGTGTACGCGAGCTCTAAGGATAGGTTCAAGAGATCTTTGGATGGCATTCAGGTTGAGTTACAAGCCACTGATCCTAGCGAGATGAGCTTTGACATCGTCAAAAGCCGAGCTCTCTAGACATTTTCGTTGTATTCATCAGCATGATCTATATATCATCTTTCGTATTTCCGATATTAAAAAAAAAAACAAAACTAAAACACTTTCCATGTTATGTAATTTTCTTGGTTAAGATCTGAATTCTTCATTGTCGTTTCATTTTTCACTTCTCTTTTGTAAACATATTCTTATGAAAAGTTAAAAACATGTTTTCATGAAAATGTAGTCGGGAAGTTTAAACCATGTATAACTTGTTATGTTAACTAGAGATGGACACAAGCCAAGTACTTGCCATATTATTTGGTATTCTGCTTATTTGGTATTTGGTTTGCCTTGTTCGAGTAATGAAATTTTAGACTTGTATTTGGTTTATTAAAAATGAGTATTTGTATTTTTAAATATTTGCTAAAAAATGGTATTCTTGCAAGTAATTGTTTCATTTTACTATTTGGTACTTCTAAACTAGTTTATACATAGTTATATAATTATTTGTAAGTTATTTAATAATTTATTAATTTTAGCTACTAAAATCTTGTATGAGTTAAAAAAAATAGTTAGTTATAATTCTAATCTAAATAACTTTTTGAAGAAAAAATATTTTTTTAACTTTTCCATATGTTTTAAGTTATGATAAAATACAAAATTAAAAAAAAATCTAAAATATTTCTATAGTATATTTCTTTTAATTCATGTATCATATAAACAAATAATATGATTATAATTTAGAGATTTTTTTGTCCAAAAGTAAAAACGGTTAATAAATCAAGTTTTAAGTCGCGAGTAATAAAACCAACAACGCTAAGTAATTGTTTATACTTGATACTTATCTTGTATTAATAAGTAACTGAAATTTTTATTTTAATATTTGGTATTTATCTTGTACTAATATAATTGAAATTTTTATTTTAATATTTGATATTTATCTTGTACTAATATAATTGAAATAAACGAATCGACATGAACAAAACAAATACTTAACTTCAATTTTTATTTTAATATTTGATATTTATCTTGTACTAAGATAATTGAATTGAAAATGAACGAATCGATTTGAACAAAACGAATACTTAAATACTTAACTTTAAGAACAAGTACGAAACTGGTAGCCGGATAGCAAGAATACTAAACTTTAAGAGCAAGTACGAAACTGGTATCCGGATAGCAAGTATGCGTGAGTAGCAACTAATTATACTCACCCCTGGTGTTAACGTCTCAAAGCGAAGCTAGCATGTTGTGCAACTTCTCAAATAAAGGAATAGAACTACACGGTAAGTTGTAACCATTTTTGACAAACATATTTATATGTTCAATTAATTAAGGTCTAACAATTTAAACAACTCGTCAATATGTCCGAGTGGTTAAGGAGACAGACTTGAAATCTGTTGGGCTTCGCCCGCGCAGGTTCGAACCCTGCTGTTGACGTATTTTTCCGTTGACCTATATGTTTTGATCCACATTAAGTACTTTTGCATTATCATCCCAAAAACTTGTACCATATTTTTACACTACAGCAAAATAAGCCATGGATCAAACCAGAAACACATTGTACCAGAACACATAAACACACACACACCATACATTTCGAAAAGAAACAAATCTCAATTTTCTTGGAACCTCTTCTGCACAGGCACAGATCCACGCTTCTCACCGCTGCGTTGACCCGCCCCATCAGCTCCCGAACCGGAAAATCCCATATTCCCTAAACCACCGGTACACCAAAAACCAAAAAAAGTCATTACACAAACGCTACAAGATCAAGAAACGCGATTTTCATCAAAGAAAATAAAAATAGCGTTTACCAATGGTGGCGCCTACAGATTGTGAAGAGTCTTGAACCGACTCTGTAGACTTTTGAGTCACTTCCTCCGCCGTACCGAAGATCCACGAAGTTACAGCTCCTCTCAGCTTATCCACCATCCCTCCTTCACCTTCTTCAGCAAATCTTTCACCGTGTTTTGTCGCTCCTTCCGATTTAGGATCCGGGAACCCTCCTAACCTTTCCTCAACCTCCTTAGATTGAGTCACTATCCCCTTCTTATGGGTCTCCGTCGTGTCTCCTCCGAGATGAAGCTTCTCGGTTACCACTTCAGACAAAGCCTTGTCTTCCTCCCCTGGAGTTAGTTTCTCCGCTACGTATTCTTTTGCAGAGACACCTTTGTCCTGTCCTTGTTGTGTCTCGGTTTCGCCGGAGAAAGGTAACTTGTGTATCACGTTAGCTCCTGTTTCTTTGACTTTCTCGTAAACTGGAGTCACCATTGATGCAACCTTGGTTCCGTATCCTTCGCTCGGAGTGTCAGCTCCTTCTACATGGATCTCGTGTCTTACGTCTCCACCTTCATCGGAGTAGCCAAGCTTTGAAGCGACGGCGTTTTTGGCCGCTGCAGCTTTATCCGCTACGACTGAAGTCACTGATGCGATCTTATCGGTGTAGCTGCTCTGATCCTGCTGGTGCGTTTCATGATCTCCTCTCTGTTGCTCAAAACGTTCAGTGTTTTGTTTAGTTTGAGTTCCTGTCGGAAAATCTTTACCCAAAGCAGCTCCTGACTTCACACCAAAGTCATGGCTCCTTGTCTGAAACTCTTTCTCTGCCGCTAAGTGGCTCCTCACCGGTATATCTCTTCCGTGCCCTAACTTATCATCTTTATCCGTTCCTATCAACCTCGAAAGAGCTGAGACAGTCTGTCCTGCTCCAACTTCTCCACCAGCTGAGATACACAAACGGCATGGATTAAAAAAAAACGGAAACCCTAATTTTAAACCCTAAAACGTGGGAGACAAGCTATTACCTTTTCCGGTAGGATCAGTGACTTTGGACTGATAATTCGACATCCCTTTACCTGGTGCAGACGAGTCTTCCACTAATCCTCTGTTTCTCTCGGTGTTAACTCGGCGTTGTTCACCAGGAGTGATCGTTCTAGTAACATCCTCTGTAGCAGAGAGCAAAGACACAGGCGTGTTATGTGGTGTCAGAGTAGAAACGCCTTTTCTCTCTTCTTTTTCTGACACACCTAAGCGTCTTTCAGGATGAGGCAGAGCTTCATGTCCGTGAGAGGCAGGATGAGGCAGAGCTTCATGTCCGTGAGCTTCGTGGCCGTGAGAGGCGTTGGTGGCTACTCCTCTGATTGGCTCAGAGGCTTTAGCGTGGGAAGAGGACACGACCGGAAAAGCCTTTGTCCCTGGAGGGACTATGTCTTCCTTCATCGGATCATGACCATGATGAGCTTTTCCTCGTGCTACCGACACAGAATCAAATAAAACCGTAAATACCAAAAGTTAATTAATTAATCAGTAGAGATTAAAGTGAAGTAAGGTAAGGGATATGGACAGACACCTGGTGCACCAGCGTGGACTTGTTGGCCTACGTCGTAATCTTCAGTATCTTCCTCATCTAGATCATGATCGTCAGGGATGTGCTGTTCTCCATGACCGTGCTCATGACCATGTCCGTGTTCATGACCATGTCCATGTCCATGTTTAGTAAGAACATTCTTTATCTTCTTTGCTTTTTCTTTAACTTTCTTTAAAACTTTCGATGGTCCTTTCTCATGATGCCCTTCTTCCTCTGCATCCAGACACACATATAAAACACTCATTAACCTTTTTTTTCTTTTTTTTTTGCTTAAAACATTAACCTAATCTTGAAAATGGTATTGAACAAAAAAACAATGTTTCTGAAAATTAGAGTTTAGTTTGGTAAATAACCTGGATGGTGAATCTTGATAGGTTCCTCTGCTTGATGATGATGACCATGAGTACGTTGCAACTGCCCTTGCGAATCCATTATCCAACCCTCTCCGAAATCAAAATTGATTCTGCGAAACTCTGATTAGTTTCTTGAAAGCTATATACACAGAGAGATAGCATGTGTCCTCTGTATTTTTCCTAGAGGTTGCCACGTGTCATGTATCGCCACGTAGCTGGCTCCTGATTCTTTACGTGGCTCTCTTGTATGTAATCATTATCCGGGAAGCATTTCTCGATGAAACTTCTTTAGCAAGTTAAGAATTCACATTAATAAACCGGTTCGGGTAACAAGTTAAGAATTCACATTAGTAGACCGGTTCGGGCTAAGCCCATTTTCGAAATTTGTATTTGGGCCTGAAAAAACAAGGTCCAGTATGATCTAGGGTTTGGTGGTAGAAGAGCAAGACACGAAAGCGCGGGGTTAGTTGCAGGATGCAGCTACCACAGCATCCACGTGGAGACATTTGATTAGTTTATCCACTTAACTGCTCACGAAATTACACGTCTGAATATTAAAAAATCGAAAAGGATCGCTAGGACCACGTGGTTTTATTTTTTATTTTTTTGGGTCTTCTTCAAAGGTTAAAGCGTTTGGTTTCCACAATCATATCGAAGATTATCCGAGAAGAGTAGAGAAAAAGACAAAGAACCACAAAAAAAGAAAGAAACACAGTTTCAGAAATGGCTGTCGGTATAAACGCGATGCCGGTGACGTTTGCGGCCCACGCGCTGGCTCTAATAGCGGCGATTATGGTGCTGGTTTGGAATATCAGTTACAGAGGTGGATTGGCTTGGGAAGCTGAAAACAAGAATCTTATCTTCAATGTATGGTTTCATTTATTTTGTTCTCTCTCTCTCTTCTTTAATTGGTCTTTGCGTCTGCGTTGACTTTTGCCTTTCTTGACAGTTGGCCTGATTGTTGTGGGTAATAGATTCGTTTTTGTTTCACAATCTTGTGTTTTGTCTGCAAAGTTTGAATCTTTATCCATTTCTTAGTACTGTTTTCAGTGTTTCTGAGTGAGTGACTTTTATGTAATGGAGAAGTCTCTTTCTGTTTATCTTGATCTTAGTTTGATTTGTACAATTGGGTTTTTGATAGATAGCTTTTGATTTTGGGAGAAATGGTGTGTCCCGAGTACTTGGATAAATGTTTAGTTGTGGATCTGCATTAGGATCCATCAGTGTATGTACTAAAGATGATGATGTTTGGTCTTTATTGACAATTTGATTAATGGTAATAAATAAATGAAAGATCTTTTGGCTTTTTAATCTTGTTTCAAAGTTCATATCATGTTCTTATGTGGGATGTTGGGAGGAAAAGATTACAACACCCAAATAGTACCTGAGGAGCTCTTGAATCATTAAGCATTCAAAAATGTTGCACGACTTTATTCACAATCTGTGTTTGTGTTCTAATAATTCTTTATCTGGTCTCTATTTTTTTTATATGTGATCCATCCAGCTGCATCCTGTTCTGATGCTCATTGGATTTATAATCTTGGGAGGAGAAGGTAAACATTAACATCATCTTTTATAACAATAAGAAAATTTGTATTACTTACTATCTTTATTTGTCCCATTGATGATGATCATTTGATAGAAAAAAGACTAATAAACCTGTGTTTTTGAACTTGAAATGCAGCTATTATAAGTTACAAATCGCTTCCATTGGAGAAACCAGTGAAGAAGTTGATCCACCTTATTCTCCATGCCATTGCTCTGGCTCTTGGTATCTGGGGAATATGTGCAGCTTTCAAGAACCACAACGAAAGTGGCATCCCTAACCTCTACAGTCTCCATTCTTGGATTGGTATTGGAGTCATTTCTCTTTATGGCTTCCAGGTAAAAACCCCCCATACCCTTTTGCAGCTATTAGACCTTACCATTTATAGAAAGTCAGATTCCTTTTGGTGTTTTTTTCTGTACAATAGATAACAGAAGAGTTTTGAACTTTGCAGTGGGTGTACAGCTTCATAGTGTTCTTCTTCCCTGGAGGATCACCAAACCTGAGAAGCGGTTTGCTTCCGTGGCACGCAATGCTGGGCCTCTTTGTTTACATACTTGCTGTTGGGAACGCAGCTTTAGGGTTTCTGGAGAAGCTGACTTTCTTGGAGAGTGGTGCTAAGCTTGACAAGTACGGGCCAGAAGCATTTCTTGTGAACTTCACAGCCATTGTCACCATTCTCTTTGGTGCCTTGGTGGTGATCACTGCTTCTGCTAAGTCTCCCTCTCCGTCTTCCTCCATTGATGATGCTGATAACTACAGCTATTCTGCTATATAAAACGCATATCTTTGTTGCCACTTGTGCTATTAAAAGATCGTATTCTTATGTGATGTATTTGTAGTGAAACACTTTGTGTGTTGTGGTTTCACTGATTATGAGTTTGCTACTTCTGGTTTGTGAAATCTTCAGTAGAAAATTAAAATAAGAAACTCTTTTATATATCTTACCTTCAGTCTTCTGATCCTTAATAATTTGATTTACATTGTTTGTGACTTGATTTATATGGTTATTGATGAAGAAAATAAATAATCAGAAGAATTACAATGTGTGTCGTCTCTATCAGTATCAATCTTTTTGTTTTTTGAAACTGAATCAGTATCAATCTTAGGCTCATGCTTCTGACACTTAGAGCCAAACACAACGTCGTTAAGAGTCCAGTTGTTGTTGTTCATCACCATTTCGTTGCAATGGAACTGATTAACATCACCTGTTTCTTGGTAATCTGAGACGTATTCTTGAATATTTGGAGTTTGGTTGTGGTTAGAGTCTGCCAAATCAGAGGAATGATCAATGTGGGGAGAAAACCACTCGGAGAAGAAAAGCCTTGGAATCTCAGGACCAGAAGCGCATGGATAGTTGTTGTTGCTTTCTTGTGATGGAGATGATGAAGTCTTCTCTGGAAGTGGGTTGATGTGTGGATTTCTTTTCACGCAAGCAACAAGTGAATCAGAAGAAGTGGATATAGATGTTGCATGTTGAGGCCTCTGAGACTTGAGCCTCTTTTTCAGATGAGAGTGCCAATAGTTCTTGATCTCATTGTCTGTTCTCCCCGGTAAGTACCTGGCAATCCGTGACCACCTAATCACACCGAAAAAAAACACAGCTGTCTTTACTCTTTAGCATCTGCTGAAACAAAATAGGGTTAGGTTTTTAGGTCAAGGGAAAAGCTTACTTGTTACCCAAGGAAGAATGAAAAGTCAATATGATCTCTTCTTCTTCTGCATTAATCATATCCCTCTTTAATCCTGGTCTTAGGTAATTAATCCATCTTAATCTGCAGCTCTTCCCATTCCTTTGTAACCCTTTTCAAATTAAACCGCAACAATAAAAATTCATCAGAATTGGCTACAACTATCTTGAGAAACTAATTAGAGCAAAATAAAAAAGAAAAAAAAGAGAGACCAGCTTTGAAGGGAACAGTGGTCCAACAAGAATGGCCATGAGAGAGGATGAAGCTCCTTAGCTTCTCATCTTCTTCAGGTGACCAGAAACCTTTCCTCTGTCTTTGCTTTGGTCTCTCTCCAGCTTTCGTCTTCACCATTTCTCAATCTTGTTATAGTAGAAGAATACATCGCTGTATTGAGATAACATATATATCACCAATGGTCGACAGATAGAGTTAGCATACTTAATGTTAAGAAATGACCAAATGTGTCTGCTTAGAATAAAAAGACAAATTTTCATTCAAAAAAAGAATAAAAAGACAAATGGCTCGTATACTATACGTATGTAGACCCACATGAAAATTTAGGATATTTATGTATGCGTTTGTGTAAGCACTGAGCAGAAAAGTCATAATGTTTATGTAGGAATGGATTAGGTGCAAAAATAAAGTCTGCTTGGACCAAATTGATACATAGTGTTAAAACATATAAGTTTCCACCTCAAAACGAATTAGCAGCCTATCAAATGAGTTTCATATTTCAGATAATGTGAATCCTTCATGAAAGAAGGAAAGAAAGAAAATGTCCAAGGCAACAAAGATCTAAGGTACCAACTGTGAGTTACATGTACGGATCAAAGTCTTACCGATGCATATACTGTAACATCTTCATATCCTAAAAAAAAAAACTTTCTAAGTGATGGCAAGACCTTGAGAAAATATAACCGACTTTCTATAGTTTGGATCATGTATTAATTAACTCATTATGAAATTTGTTCAGAATGGAATAATATATCTGGTTTTATGCAATATTTTGTGAATAACGAAACAATGATTATAGAGAATCAATCATTCAGTCTGTTAAAGAAAATGTATTTTAGTAATACATCAATAGCAAGTAGACAGATTGTAATTTGCTAGACCAAGAACTTGAAATCATATTTTAAATTTATCTAAATGTAATTTGCAGTGAAGTCAACATTGAGCTCCTTATTAATTGGATAGTTTTTTTCCTCTCACGTTTTTGTCCTTATTGACAATAGAACAAAGAGTATTACATTTACACAGACAAAAGGACCAGTTATAAGGTTTATCAGAGGAATGTTGTTAGCTTTTGCAATTCTAATTACTTATGTCCTCCCCCATCTAAATGAAGTGTTGCTAATTTTCAAAATGCTCTCACTTTGTTTTTTACTTGTTGGCTCTATTCACCTGTGGAAAACATATGTGATGAAGAATGAACATTGTCATCTTGCCTTAACCATTGAGTATACAATTGATAGTTTTTACTGAAAACCTGACATCATCAATAGTTCGGAAAGCAGCTTCTCCCACAACACCTTGCCTTCAACTCTGAGAGGAGGAGCTGGGAATTTGCTATGATTGCAGCATGGGATTGGAAGGTATGAGTAGATATGATTTTAGAGACGATTAGATGTGTGGAGTATTTAGTGTGAATCTATATTTATAGAGAGTCAGAGTAACAAAGAAGTGGTGGTAGATGAATTTAAGAACATGTAGTGGTGGGATTTGATTGAAGGCCATAATATGTCATGGTCTAAATGTAGGGGAAGCATTATGGCTATGATTTTATTTGTGTTAATGATGATCCAAATTTTAGTAGATACTTTTAACCATCAGATTAATTTAATTGTGACGAAAATAATTATCGTTAGAATGATATCAATTTGACTAAAATAAGAACACACATCTTGAGTGCATGCTATATATATATGTTTATCACTTGGTCCAAAGGTCTTCTTCTAACTGATGTGTTTAGTTGCTCTACTAAGTATTTCTATTTGACATATATGGTGACGAATTATGAGAGCATATTTATTATGGTTCTTATGCGAGGTTTTATAATTCTTACATATCGTATCTCACTGTGATAATTGAAGTCACTGAGATAATTGATGTTTGTAAAATGTACAGATGTGAAGACTTGGCTGATAGAAGATATGTTTACTTATCACATACTTGTGGGTGTATCTGATAACAAAATGTGTAGTTAGGCATTGAAAATGATAAATTGACATGTCAGTCATCAACAAAGTCAAAAAAGCTTTCAAATGATGAGAGGCTAAAGTACAATGTCTTTTACAATAGAAACTAGGATAAGACCTGCGCCTTGCGCAGGGTGAATATATGTAATTAAAATATAAAATTTTAATATTCACAAATTTAAAATTTACATATGATTGTTTTTGTATGTATTTGAAATTTTAGAATTTTGGAATTTTTATATAATTATCTATACGTATGATCAAGAACAATTTTAATTAGAAATGTAAATCAAATCTTAGAATTTAATGGATCTGATTTCATATATCTTTTTACTTTTTAGTGTTCGAGTGATGGAAAATAAATGGAGTGTCACTGGGCTTGATTGGTAGAGTATAGCAAGTTCCCTAATGTTTTTAAAGAAGCAATTGGTAAAATATTTGCAATTAAAATATATAAAGTTTCTAAACTAATTTAATATAATTTATTTATTTGTCTAATAATATTAGAAAATTATATTTTTTAAAAATAATTTTCTAA